TCTTCTTCTCTCTCTCTCTCTCTCTCTCTCTCTCTCTCTCTCTCTCTCTCTCTCTCTCTCTCTCTCTTTCCTCTTTTTATAAAAATATGTGATTAAAAAACAAATAAATCTATTATATAAAATTTTTTAAATTAATTTTACATCTATAAGATATATGGCAATCAATAACAATTCAATAATCAATAAATAACTATATATCTAGAAATAAATTGTATCTAATCAAGAACAAAATAACTAATTTTATTTATTCTGGATTAGATTATAATTCATTTTAGATGTATGATTATTTATTAATTACTAAAGCAGCTAAAAAAATAGTTTTCAGTATATTTTATACCAATATACCGAAAAATATCTTGTTCGATAATTAATAAATATACTGTTTTTTAAATTGGAAACATGATTTTATAAAAAAATATTTTCATTATTAAATATATTTTATATTGTAAATTATATTTTGTAAAAATTTTTATCATGTATTTTCTTGCTTCTGACGTCATCAATTGAGATGGCCGCAAGTGAGCATTATAGAACCTTAATTCTTACTTCGCTTTTTTCTTGCTCCTTTTTTCTAACACTGAAAATAAATATCTGCAGTCAAAATCTAACTAAAACCTTTGTTTGTCAAATAAAAACACCTTGAAGTAAATTTTTCTTCTTGCGGCGCTAGCCCACCATTTCGCACATGCCACTCTATCGCGCATGCGTAAACAAAAGCGAGGTTACGTACATACATGGGCACAAGCACGTGTGTGACGTATCTCGTCTCGCGCCGTGTATCTTCAGAATCGACATTTCGAAGAGAAAATTGAAAATGAGGAAGTCACTCGGTTTCAAAATTAGACGCCGGATTCTCCGGAGAGCCGACAATCAGCTGATATATTTCCAAGAATATTTCTTTCTCTCGCGTAGGCTAGCCGCAATACGCGTTTAGACGCGGGGTGACGTTTCAGACGCGCTCCGTTGGCAGCACTGTGCGCGCGCGCAGCATTCCGGCGACGCGCGGCATCTCAGTCGGTGTCGAGCCGCCGTGCCGAGTGGATCGAAATTGAGCCGATATCATTGGGGTTAGTCGCGTGGTGCGTGCGCGCGAGTTTGTCGCGGGGGCGTATCTCGACAGGGAAGCCAATCACAAGAGAAGTGACGTAAGATGAGCGGTCTACTGAAGCTGTCGGCGTCGTTGCTGCCGAGGGGTCTGCCTGGGGCGGCGACGTTGGTGAGGAAGCCGTATGCTCTAGCAAAGAGAGAAAGAGAGAGATTTCGAACAATAGAGTCGCTGTCGCGGCTGTTGTTCCCACTTATTCCCGCGGATTCTCACCCCCATGCAAAAAAAAAATCCGGGCGACGATCACCGCGAAGTTCCGCGTCGCGTCCACCGGGGGCTCGAATCTCGACGGAAGTGGACCAAATCTCGGCTTCAGGGCGATCGCATCTGGTCCGGGGAATTTCGCCGTTACGTCGCGCCATCTTAAAGGAAGAAAAAAAAAATGAAAGAGATTCCTCGGGCGCGATCCGTTATTCGGCGTGAATTTTCCTTTCTCGTGGCGTAGGTCAGGATCAGGCCGATCACGTCCGCGTCCGCGGGGGTTTGCGGATCTCCCGGCTACGTTATGTAATTTTTTTTATTCACCGTCCCCGCCGGTGGTGAGATGCACGACGCGGCGGATCAATTACGTAAGGTGCGCGCGACCGAGACGAATAAAATACATTCCGCGGCCGGAAATGCGCGCGTCGTCCCGCTGTCCGTGACGAACGCCACGGTATGCATCCCTCTGGCATCTCTCTTCGAGAGGGATCGTCCTCTCTCGTTGATTGCCGAGGGATGTCGTGGGGTGGAGCACGTTTCATCCTATTTCCATATGCTCGGCCGCGTCGGCCAACGGGGGCTGCTCGCGTCTAACGGTACTTGCTCGATGGCTCGATACCGTGACCGAGTCGAGATACGCTTTTACGGCGTTTCGGTGTTGATTAGTCGATTAGTTTGAGCGAGATATCGATATCCGCAAGGTGTCTTCAGGTGTCTCTTGCTTTCACTTGAAAGGATAACAAATATTATGATCATCTAAACGAAAACATTGAACATTTGTGTCGATTTAGTCACTCCCGTTAACACTAGAAGCACCACGCGATCGTCTCTGACCGAATTCCTTTCCATTTTTTTAGATTAACATCCTTTTCCCGAGAATGTAGAATTTTCTTTTTAACATTTTCATCATCACAATATCAAGAGTCAATCGGCTTATTCTAATGGATTCTATATACAAATGTTTTAGAGATCTTTGATAGAAAAAAATACTAATTTTAAAAGTTTAAAAATGACCACTTGATACTTTTTTAATTCGTTGCTCGAGGAAGATTTTTTTTTCTATCTACAGACGCAATTACGAGATATGAAACTGATAATACAGACGTTTCCGCAGGCAGCGAGATAAGTGAGGCCACACCTGGCGAAATTTTGTTTCGCTTGACGACGAACTTTATATTCTGGATCTACGTTGATTGTTCATTTTTGGATCTTCGATGAATTTACTTCTGGATTTTCAATGAATTTATATCTAAGAGCATATCTTAAAAACTACACGCCGGAAGGAACGCGTCTAGTTTATCACATACGAAAGACATTCGCGATTGTTACGAAGCCGATTCTTCTTATCAAGATTTTTATTCCGCTGGCCATCCGGAGCGCTTTATTAAAAAGATAATAAAATTTACGTATCTACATTTAGGAATACCACCATTACTTTGATCGACGTGCCGCCGCGATATCTTTAGCCTTTAACGATTGACCGCATCAACGTAGGTCGCCACCGAATTTCTAGGCAAACATTTAAACGTGAAGACTACGATTATTCCCCTGAACTCTAAACAGAATCGAGATTAAAGATAAATCATTGAATCATTGAATTTTTTTTATATTTTTTTTTAAATAAAATTTGTTAGTGTGTGAAATATCTCAGATCGAGAATTTTGTACTTTGATAATAAAGCGATGTTAAATTCATTTTTCTCTGGAGAACATTGAAAAAATATTGATATCGCTTAAATCAGATGTGAAACTGTTTTCCGGAAATATATCTTAAATGATATCTAGCGTTAACGCGCTTATCATTTGTTGTGCAATATGATACATGGCATTGAAGAAGTTCGTTACGCAATCTATACTTCTTTTTTAAGAGGAGCTAATCAATTCGGTTAATTAACCCGTAGCTATGAGCCACGTGTTTGTTTCTAAGGACACTCAATCGCTCGTTATTCCGTAAGAATGTTATAAAAAAGTGCATATTATCTCATCTTTCCGTAAAGTCACAAATTGGTATGCGGTATTATAAATATTTCATTGCGATTTACTTGTATAATATCTGACCTTTTTACATCGAGTCGCTTCCACTTTTTATATTCTGACAAAAATGATTTACAAATTTTTGCTGTATGAGAAAAATATTTTGCTTCTTTCACGCAGCTTTTTGTGAAACGTACGGACATATATTTGTTTATCTAGATAATAAAAAAATAATATAAAATTAAATTATAAATAATAAAAAATTGTTTAATTATATGATTATATAATAATTATATCTAATTTTAATTTATAAAAGTATATGTAAGTAATAATTTAGAAGGAAAAAAAATATCAGATTACACATGTAATAATTTTATCTGTACTGACTGACATCATCGATGCTTGCCTTTATGCTTGTAAATAGAACATGTCGAATTGAACATGTAACATGTACGATATAACACGCGTAGGTATGTACACGCAATCATAAATGCATATTCGTGACTCATAAATAACGACGTGTTGTGTCCACGTGACATCTTATCTAACAATTTATTTTCAAATTCTAAAGCAATTGATGCTTTTTCAACTACCACGTGTTAAATTCATAATAACTGGAACCTGTTAACTGGACAGCAATATTCTTTCACGCACTTTCTTTTATTTCGCCTGTTATATTGTTGCCTTTGGTTCCTCAAATCTTACCTATATCTTTGCTCTCATAAAACTTAGGTTTCATTCAACTACATCCAAATATAT